TATTTTTAAGCAACTTTTTTTTTTTTTTTTTTTTTTTTTTTTTTTTGCTTTTAGTCATGAAAGAACTGTCATTCATTCCTGTGATTCTAGGACCAGCAGGAATAAAGATCAATTGAATGAGATCCCCAAACCTTTCTGTGAGACTCTGCCTTCCTCAATTCACTGTCTCCCTGGCTCCTTTGAATCCGTCCTAAAATTTCTGCATGGTCTTTGGAACTTCTGGAGCTGAGAGAGCATTTAGAACTCAGGTTCTGCACACTTTTGTGCATCAGGACCACCCAGGATCTTTAAGAAAATACAAAGCACAGCCTCCAGGAAATTTTTGATTTACTCAGTCTGTAGTAAGGCTCAATCATGCCCAGGGTTTCTCAAAGAGCTTGGGTAGCTTGGGTAGCTTGGGTAGCTGTGACACTTCCACTTTTTTAATAAAAAGTTTTCCTTTTCTTTTTGCTTTTTAAAAAAATTATTTATTTATTTATTTATTTATTTATTTATTTGGAAAAGGGTCTTACTATACAGCTCAGGCTCATAGTGATTCCCCCTGTCTCAAAGGGTGGAAATGACTCAGCTCGTGTAGGTGTGCTTCCAGCTTCATTTAAAAGGCTCGTGGAGCTGGGGAGATAGCTCTGGAGTCTAAGCACCTGTCTGGCAAGCTCAAGGACCAGAGTTCAATCCCCCGTACCACATGACGCTCTGGCTCTGTGCCGAGCCTGCTACTGAAATCAGGCATGGTGGTGCATGCCTGTCATCCCAGGGCTGGGGAGGCTGAGACAGGAGGATCACTATGAGTCTGAGCTGTGTAGCAAGACTACTGTATTAAATAAATAAATAAATAAATAAATAAATAAATAATAAATAAATAAATAAATGGCTCAAACACAATAGTTTTGGGGAATATTGAAAAGCTATAACACCATACTTCATATATACCAAATAATATACAACTAGTTTGCATTTACCCTCTTTTTACCCAAGATTTCTAAGTCTCAGCAAATTTGGAAGTTATTATTTAACAATGCTATCATGATGAATCTGTACAGTACTTGCATAGAGAGGGACAAGTCATTTTACTGAAGTCTTAAGAGATACCGTTTTCCAAGCAACTTCCTAAATCATGTTTTATTTTGATTAAAAAGATGTTATCAATTCATTGATAGGCAATTGATGTCTTAAAAATTCAAAGCTGAGATAAGGAGCCCGAATCCAGTTACAGTGTGCCTATTATATTTATTAAGGCTCTCTTTTCATTCTGAGTTGATACTTATGAAACTAGTGATTAATATCTCAGCTTAAATATGTAATTGCAAAATATTGTATTCAATTTTATTTTTTTGTATTTTAGGCAAGGGTTTACAGGGTGTTCAGGGTCTCACTACTAGATCAGACCCGTAGTGATCTGCCTGCTTACAGCCTCCTAAGAGCTGGAATTACAGGCACGCACCACCACGTCTAGTCTCAATCACCATCTCAGTGTGCCCCGGGGACGGGGCTGGCACATCAGGCCTGGGGATTGGACCCCTGGCCCCTGCACCTGCTTGCAGGTGATTAAATCTGCTGAGCTATTTGGCTGGCCCTGTAAAATATTTTAGAAGCTCAACGTAAAATGAAAGTGGGCTGGGGAGATAGCTCAGCAGTCTAAGCACCTACATGTCAAATGTAAGGACCTGGGTTCAATCCCCTGCCCTGTGCTCTACTGGCCTGGGAACTGGGCATGGTGTCACGCACCTACTATTCCAGGGCTGAGGAGGCTGAGACAGGAGGATCACTATGAGCCTGAGCTGTATAGTGAGACCCTTTTCCAAATAAATAAATAAATAAGTAAATAAATAATTTTTTTAAGAAAAAGAAAACTCTTTATTAAAAAAAAAAGATAGGCTTGTGAGATAGCTCAGTGGACTAAGTGCCTTCCTAGGCACTCAGGGACTGGGTTCGATTCCTGGTACTACATGCCAAGCTGGCCCCACCCTTAGGTGCACTGAGCCAGTCACAGAGACAGTGTGTGGTGGCGCACACTAGTAATCTCAGCACTGGGAAGGCTGAAAAGAGGAGGATCACTATGAGTCCCAGCTACATAGTGAGACCTTGTACCAAATACATTTAAAAAAAAAAGATGATTTAAGTGTTTGCTTTTCTGGACTACCATGAAATACTTGACTACATATAAACTGCCTGGGTCTGATCCCAACAGATGTCTTTTTAAAGCACCTGTTGGAGTCTGCTCTGCAAATGGACCTTTAAATTGGATGGAGTTTTAATTTTCCAAAAGCAGTCTGCAAGCAAGTTGGAATGTCAGAAATGTACATTTGCTGCTGATAGTCCAGCGTAGCAAACTAGTTCCTGAACCATGTCGATCGCTTGAATTTGTAGTTACGGAGAGAAGTCTCCTAACACCATTAGGCCTGACAGGCTTTGTTTATAGAACTTTACCAAAAGGAGTTGACTTAACATATCGAGCCAATACAGAAACTCATTCTTTAGCCTTCTTAGGAGTCAGTTCACAACTAACCTGCTAAACGTGAGAACAGTAGTTGCAAATTCAAGGATGAAATCTCACTTTCACTTTCCTTGCTCCCAGGTAGAGGGACCACTTGTGTTTGACTGTATGAAATAGCTAAAATGTCGCGTAGCTTAGCACCGAACATGACCACACCAATTCTGTTTTGAAGCGGACACCTACAGGTGGCGTGGTTGTGTTACATGAAGATTACGGTCATCACATTTATGCATAATGCATTACCAACTCACACACTGTCATGCTGAAGGCCTCGGGCTGTGTAGAGCTATCTAAACACTTCAGGTTTGAGACAGCTGAGCTGCTCCCTGACCTGGCTTCAGCGAGGGGGAAGATCAGCTTCATCTTTATGCCTTCCTGCCCTTTCTAAAAATAGCAGGGCCTTTAACCAGGAGATATTTTAAGCTGCTCCTGCTCCCTTGTCTCATCAGGAGAAGCTTATTTTGGCCACTCACATGTGTCAAATTTGCATGTGTGCCTAGGCTGTTGGGAACACTAGCCCAGGCTTCTCCCACTCATATAAGAAACTGGCAAACTCAGAGGCCCTGGGATCGCTGGCTGAACGTGCCGGCTGCATCAGTGGGTAAACACATACGAAAGGAAGACACCCTTTAAGAATATGAACATGCTCCTGAAACCATCCACTGCAGACATTTGCAGATCAGCCCTCAGCTTTTCGGATCTGTTTTCATAAAACTTGGCTGTGCTTTGGCTCCGGAGACCTCTGCGATTGTGTCACTTTTAATAAATGTTTCTAGGAGACACTGCCAGCCTGTGGATAAGGGAACCTAATGAGAAACTGCCATCCAAAATCTGAACGGCCAAAGCAAAACCATAAACCAAAACAGAACCCAAAAAACAGCAACTCAAACAATCGGTGCTCACAAGAAGACATGTAGGAAAACACCAAGATGTAACAGTGACCTGATAACTGGATTTATCAGTCCCTTGGCTGGCTGGCAGTGGGTACTTTGTATTTTTCTACTTTGAAAAACAATTGCAAATCTATGTTATTCTGCACAAGTGGGACCAAAAAAAAAATATTAGGAATGTGAGAAAACAGAGACTCTAACAGCAGAATGGAAGCGAAGCAGGTAAACCCTGTTGCACAGTCGTGTCATTCCGGTACAGATGTACGCAGTACTCGTATTTGCACCTCTAAGAAATTTCCATTTTTTCGCATCAAAAAATCCAGATACGAAGCTGAAGCTGCGTTCTTTGCCAACCTGAAGCTCTCGGATTTCAACATCATCGACACCCTTGGAGTTGGAGGCTTTGGACGAGTAGAACTGGTAGGTGCGCTGCTCTTGAATTGATTTTGAGAAACTGCATCTTCTTTATTTCTTCTCCTAGTGTGAAGCTTCTCTCTTTTCTCTTTGTTGTCTTTTTCGTTGATTACTGTTGACCCTAAATATTCCCCAGATGTCCTCACCCAGGCGTGTCCACGTGTGCGACACTGTGGGCTATGCTATGCCACCTGCACACTAAAAATAACGTAAGCACAAAATTACTTTTCAGAAAACCTTTTCATAGTAAGTGAAAGGTAAACACATTATGTAATGGAGAGGCATGAAGAACACTTCATACGGTTGATAGTGTCTAATCTGTATTTATTCAGTTAGGAGCAGTGCTCACTAACTTAATTATTAATTATTCTTTAACCTGTCATAATAATTTAAATAATAATTTAAATTTAAATACAGAGAGAAGACCGGGATATAGAAATATGAAATAAATGGCACAGTATTCGCTGGACTGCTGTAGTGACGGGAAGCCACATTATAGTAACAAGGAGTATTTTATAGAATTTATTTCATGTTACATATACAGCTACCTATGGAAGAAGATGAAGTCATTCTTATACAAATTCATACATTGCACGTATTTCATGAATGTGGTATAGATGCCAGGAAGGCGCACGCTGATTTGCATTTGTTTTAAATAGAAATTTAAAACGGATGCGTTGCTCCAAAAATCAGACACAAATGTTCTGGTGACTGAGTCTGCAGCATTGCATGGGTCTGTGGAAACACACCCCGTTCCTGAAAGCCAGTGCGTTCCCGTCTCTGCAGATGCAGAGGAGTCCCTGACATCAGACACCAGTACAGCGTGTTAGGAACTCCCGAGCCTGCGTCCAGCTCCGCGAAAGGCTACTGTTGCCATCGGGAGGCGGAGTCCCGTTCCGTGAAGTGTGCTACGGCCCAAAGCTACTTCTGCTGTTAGTGTATTTGTGCCGCAGTGGGGACTTTTGACAGTGACAGGCAAAAAAAAAAAAAAAAAAAAAAAAGTGATCTACTTAAAAATTCCTAAGAAGATCTGAGGCAGGGGTGGTGGCATGTGCAGGCTGTCCCCGCCACTTGGGGAGCTGAGACGAGAATGGAAGTTCAAGACCAAGTTAAGCAACTCAGTGAGACTTGTCCTGAAAATTAAAATTAAAATGAAATTTAAGTCTGGGGATATAGCTCGGCAGTAGAGTGCCTTTGAGTTAAATCCCTAATATCAGTCAGTCAGTCACTCACTCACTCACTCACTCACTCACTCACTCAATGAAAATTCTAAAGCCATGAGATGTTCCCTTAAATTTGCATTTTACTTTCTTTGCCAGTGATTGTAAGATACTATATTAATGCTATGCTTTCGATTTGATAGTCAATAGTACGCCTCTTAGATTCTGAGTATTTTAAATTATGGAACTAAAAATCAAATAAAGTTCTACAAAACTTTTAATTTTACGAATTATGCCATTTAATGCAGTTTCACATTTATTTTTTAAGAACTTTGTGGTGAGTTATAATTATTTGTAGCGCTGAAAAAGATTTATCGACAACATCTGAACAGCTTTACTCTGGAAGTATTGGGACATACAAACACAAGATAGAGTATAACCTTTTAACATGAAAGTTATAGTTCATACGGTATTCATCTACATAATTATGTATATAAACTAATATATATTATATATTATATATTATATCTATCTAAGCTCCTCTATGGATTAAGCAGTATAGAGGACAGAATCCCCAAAAGATTAGTTTAGGAATTATTTGTTACAGTTTCTTAAACATTTAAAGCTGACCAGATAGCTCAGCAGATTAAAGCCCCTGCTTAGGCAGAGTGCAGTGGCTGGGGTTTAATCCCCAGAGTGGTGTGCCAGTCCCACCCCTGGGGTCCTCTGAGACCCAAACTGAGACTGGGCATGGTGCCACCCATCTGTAATCCCAGCATTTGGGAAGCTGAAAAACAGGCAGGATCACTAGGAGTCCAATTTGTGTAGTGAGACCCTATAGACCCTGTACTAAATACATTAAAATAAATAAATAGATAGATATGTAAAATTTTTAAAGGCTATGCACAATAAAATTAGTGCTTTGGTTAACAACAATAAGAAACCAACATTTACAACTTTGTGAACTTCAAGAGAACTGATAATTTCAAGTTACCCACGAGGCTATGCGACACATAGGAATTATTTAGGATTTCTGAAATACTGAAAACATCAGCAATATTGAAAACAACTTGCAATAACTGCAAACACTTCAAGATGAACAATTAAGTGCCAAGTTGATGGAGCAAAACTTGCAGAACATTCTATAAAAAATATACGAGAGGCACAAACAACTAGCCAGAAAATTAGGGCAAGTTTAATAGTGTAAAAGGTAATGCCACTTGGCTAGATGGCAGTCTTGGGTTCAGGCCTTAGTACTGCACACACCAAATGAATGCAGCTAAAAGACAAAATGCGTGAGTGCATGGTGGTGTGTAATCTTTGTCACATGTATACATATATATGTATACATATGTTGTGTGTATATATATGATCTGTATATTTTTATATAGAACCTGTATATATACATATATATGTTTATTTATTTTTATATATAATCTCCACTGGAAGAAATAATAAACAATTTGGCCCACTTTTGCATCACGAGTACTATATTCTAGTATTTTACACAAATGTTTATAAAGTCATGAAAACCAAATCGCAAAGAAAAGTTAACTTTGGAAATCTAGTCCATTTTGCAAACTTTAGGTAATTCTGCTGACTGATGAGCCCTTCACAGGTCATGAGATATGACCTTTGCAGGAGAAAAACCCATCACCTTAGCTTGTGGACTCAGCTCTGTTCATCTGTCCCACGCCACCGCATGCCGGAAGGAAAGCAGAGCCTCCAGGTTATCTGCAGTGTTTGGGCAGCCTGGCACCTCCCTGACCAGCAGCACTGTAATGCACTTTGCCCCCGTTCTTATCACTTGCTATTCACTTGCTATCACTTGCGATTGCCCAGTCATATCACTCAGTAGGTAGCCTGAGGGACCGGCCAGATAGCTCATTCTCGATGCCTTTTTATTTCTTGAATTTACTCAGTATCCTGGTCATTCTTCTCTTATTGCTGGGACAAATACCTGACACTCAAAATGAAGGAAGGAAAGGTTTATTTAGCTATGGAGGTTTCAGTCCATAGTCAGCTGGCTCCAAAGCAGAGTGGCACACGGCAGAGGGCAACCTTTCTTGGCGGTGGCAAGGAGCAAGAATGCAAAGGGAGGGGTAGCAGCAGCTCAAGCAGCTAGCTTCTCTTCCCTCCTTACACTGAAGTGCAAATTATCTGCCTGGGGTAGGTACAGCATCCACACCCACAGCAATCATTCACAAACTCCAGTAGCTGCCCCAAGAGTGTATGAGGCTTTGGGGGGATACTATACACAAGCCATAACACTCAGTGACGCTAAATTTGAGAGACAGACCTTGATATTTGATTGCAATTTTATGCACAGTTGTCATCACAGAGAGCTACATCTTCACAGTAGTGTTGGTACCATGCATAGGAGGTGGATGGAGAGCCACATTCTGGTGTCACTACAGACATTGTCACTCCTCTGTGAGAATGACACATGCAAAATAATTTTATCAATATTACATGGTGTTATTTTTATTTTATTTTTTAAATGATACTTTCATTTATTTATTCATTTTTTTTTTTTATGTATTTAGTACAAGGTCTATACAGATCAGACTCGTAGTGGTTCTCCTGTTTTCAGCCTCCCAAGCCCTGGGATTACAGGCGAGTGCCACTATATGGGCCGTCTCAGTTGCTGTCTCAGCGCGCCCCAGGGGCCGGGCCAGCATGGGACCCCGTGGAGCAAACCCCCAGTCCTGGCGCTCTGCCTAAGCAGGAGCTTTAGTCCTCTGAGCTATCTGGTCGGCCCTTAAGAATGGGCTTCAATAAAACCGATTTACAGAACAGCCTCCAGAAGGCCACATTCTATCACTACTTGCAAGAAAACAAACAAAACCCATGACTCTCTTTAAAAAAAAAAAAAGTATAAATAAAATTTACTCACCAGTGTTCCAACCCAGGTAATCCTCTTAATTGGCAAGGGATGAGTGCAAACTAAGGAGATTAGTTCTCCAAATCATAAGTGAACATGAGTCCCGTTACTTCAGATTCCCAATTTACTTTTCTCTGGCCCGGAGGAGTTGTACAAATCAGAAACAGATTTGTTTTTAATCTGGCATTGCTAAGTGGTAGTTGATATAAATATTAGATACTGAATCTATTTACTCAGGAATACAAATGGTCCCCATACTAGAAAACCATACTTCAATAAAATATAGGAGCAAATAGGTGAGAGACATAATCTGTCTTTTTGGATTAGATTTTTTTTTTCTTAATCAGTTACTATATGGGGGAAATCAAAGGCTATAGTGGACATATAAATTAAAAAATCTATTATAGGGCTGGCCAAATAGCTCAGCAGATTAAAGCACCTGCAAGCAGACACAAGGGCCAGGGGTTCGATCCCCAGGCCCCCAGGGCAAGCTCAGACAACAATTGAGACTGGGCGTGGTGGCACACTCCTGTAATCCCAGCTCTTGGGAGGCTGTAAACAGGCAGATCCCTACAAGTCCAATCTAGTAGTGAGACCCTGAACACTCTGTAGACCCTTCCCCCACCAAAAGAAAGAAAACTATTATAGTAAAAGACCAATTGACTTGCGTCCTGCACAAAACCCACTTACTTCACTCTAATGCTCTCCCAGCTGAGCTACTTCGGCCAATTAAAACCCACTTACTTCAAACACACCTACCCCATGTGTCTTTTACTTTGCAAGTTCAAAAAATTTAATTTAACATATGTTTAGACCATTCCTTGCATATCTTTGTGGTAATAAATGATTTAGTAGAAAATGGCTCTTGGCTCTAGGAAATCATAGTCTATAATCTGATGTACTCAGAAAAACCACAAACAGAGAAGACAAGCCCTAGCAAAGCTCAAGTAGCCCAGGCTCTG